CTAGGCAACCCCCTTCCGGATCTTACCTTGATGTCCAGACGTCAGATGCTCTCCTCAAGAATTCGGTTCTTAGAGAGGGATGGGAGAGGCGGCGATCAGAGGTGTGGGCCAGTGCCCTCGTCCTCGTCACGCTGGGGGTCCCTCTGTTAATCCAAATAAAAAACTGTTAGATAAACTAACACTCTCTCTCTCTCTCTCTCTCTCTCTCTCTCTCTCTCTCTCTCTCTCTCTCCCCTCTTTCTCTCTCTCTCTCTCTCCTTATTGACCTGAATCCTTCACCTCTGACCCTCAGGTTCCACCTGTCTTTTATTTTCCGTTTTTTGCCTTTTCAAATCGGAAAAAGGGAGGAGTGGGCAGAGGGCACAGGCGCGGGCCAGTGCCCCTAGACGCTGAGGCTGAGACTACATCCAGCCCTCGCAGCCTTTTAGTAATCAGAGGAGGTGTTAATGGAGGACTCGGCGGTAACTGAACCTCATAAAGCCTTGAGCATCTCTGGGCCTGGCGCAGCCGGGGAGGAGGTGGCGGGGGAGGGGGGGGACCTCGAGTCCCGGGCGCCGGGACTCCCGTCCCCGGTCCCCCGCCCCCCCACACCTCCTGGTCCCCCCAGGCAGCCCTTGCCTTCCTGGAGCGAAGCTAGTACCTAAAAGATGCTGCCGCCAGCTGGTGCCTGCATAGACGGTGAATGGGCGGAAGCTCCTGAGGGAAACTGGGCTAAACCATTGATTGCTCACCCACCATCCCCACCTTCCCCTCTCCAGCCTTCCTTCGCTCTTCGCGCTCTTAAACTGGGCGTCAGGAACCCAGCATGTTAGAGAGCTTTCTGCCCTCGAGGGCGGCATTTGGGACCCGGTCAGCGCGAGGGTCCCGGAAATCTCTCCTGCTCGGGACCGTCCTAAAGGATTGGGGTGGAGATTAACCGCCACCCCCCATGAAGAAAACACCCACTGAAACCCCTGGCAGTCGAGCGTTCCTTGCGATGTAGCCAAGACTCCGGACCCCGCGGGGCCGCGTACCTGTTCTCAGGTTCCCAGGGGCTGCGTCCCCCCGGGTGCAGTCAGGCCGGCGGAAAGTGGAGGGAGAATCGGCAAGCCAGGCCTCTGGCCAATTATTTACGCGCTCCTCCACCTGGGAGCCCCTCACAGTCGGAGATGGGGAGGCGGGGGGTTACTGCTGGGCTCCCACGCCAGTGAGGAAGGGGTGTGAACAGTGAGATTGGCAGCTCCAGCATGCTGATCCGAATGATGGTGCCGCCCTCCCTTGCCGCCTCCCCCTGCCTGGTGCCACGGGAGCGACTCCTTGGCTTTGCGTGGGCCGAGAGCTGGATGCACCGCCCGCGACTGTGCGCATCCCGGCTACCAGCGAAAACTGCAGCTTCATGTGGGGCTGTGCGGGGAGGGAAATCAGCCAGTCCCGCAAGTTCCACCACACATTTTAGGGACTGAAAGGGACAGACCAATAAAGGTGAGTCCGAGTTTCCTGGCTTCCTATTTCCGTTTCAAATCCAGGCGCGTCTCTCAGAGCCCCCATTTCTGGAACGCTTGACTTCAGGACCTGGACCACCGCCCACCATTTCAACCCTTTAAGCTTCCGCCGGGACTTTCTCCTTCGAATCCCGGCCTCCTGGCTCTTCCTCCCACAATCTCCCCCATCTTGGTCACTTTTCAAAGCCAAGACTCCCGATAGCGAGAGGCCATCAAATGATAGATGGCGACACCCACTCAAGAATGCTTGACAGTTCTCAATTGATTCCCGTCCAAGGCAGCGGTGTTCAACCTCTTCTGGGTCACGCACTGTCTCAGGTTATCTGATGTCCACAGGCAATCTACACACATGCTGGGCACGCACACTGAAGCAAGTGCACACCTTTGCTCACACTTTAGAATATAAATTTCGGGTGGGAAGATTTGGCTGCTCTCCATCCCCTACAATCCATAATTCCTGGGTTAATGTCTCTTTTACCACCATAGTTCTACTAAGAAGGGCCCTGAGACTGGTTGATTTGTATCATGATACCAAACTCAAAACTGCTTGTGGGGACAAAGGTAACCTATTATTACTCCAAGTACTCTTCATACATGGGGAAACTACAAGTCTAGGGACAATCTCTGACTAAATATAGCTGTTGGTTCTTCTGCAACCATTCCTCATAAATCAAGTTCTCCAAAGTCCAACAAAAGGCCACAGCTCACGACACGCACACATGTACACACAAATGTCTGATTTTCTTTCCGAGAGGAGAGGATAGTTTGGGCGCCCAGGAACCTTATAATTGTTTCAGGATGGTGAAAAAAATAGCATGGAGTTTTAAATCTTTTACTATTAGCTTGAGTCAGTCCACAAACTCTAGTCATTGATGGAGCGGAGAGAAGATGGAGTGGCAGGTGTAGGCAAGGAGTGGAGGGTCAGCTTCTGTCTGGGCTGACAGGGCTGTGCAGGCTCACAGGAAGGCATCATACAGATTTTCATTCATCTGTAGGTTGTGAGCCTCCTTCCTCAGCCTTGTATTGAGACCAATCTAAACTCCACTTGCTCTGATGTTGGAACTGTGTGTGCAGAATGGATCTTGCAGACACCTTAGGAAAAAAGGGTGCTGAGCTGAAACAAAGACCTAGCCAGCTCCAAGGACAGCCTCCTCTTCTCAGGGGCCACTTGGAACTGGGTGTTCCAAGCACACCCAGTTTGGAACTCCAAATGTTCCTTGGAAAATAAAAGCCATTCTCTTCCTTGCTCCACATCATCTGTGGGAACAACACAACTTCTGAAAGAAGAGCAGTGTGCATCCTGACCCACCTGCCTCCAGGATTGCCCAGGGCAGGGCCCTTCCCCAGCCAAGGGAAGAACTACAGCCCAGCAATCCATCCTCTGCCCCAACCCCAGTTTCCATAGGTCATTCTGTGTTACAAACAATCTAGAAATCAATATGCCTTGATTTATTGTGCCCTGGGGCAGAAGGAGTCTCCAGAAAACTTGAGAGTACCAGGAGTTGATTTAAAGGGGGAAGTCTCCTTCTCTCAGCATCCACATGTGTTTGTATACACACACCTAATAAGAAACCTGAATTTTTACTTTACAATGTGTGAATACAATACAGCCTAAACCTCTTGCAGCGAGGCCCATTTATGTGGCCATATTGTGTTTAATGCGGGAGCACCGCCCTGCTGCCACCCCTGATGTGTGGTTCACACACATCTCTCCAGAACCACAGCGAAATTCAGACCTCTGGCCTGTCATCAGGTGCAGGAGGAAGCCCTCCTTCCCTCCATCCCGCCCCACTGGCTCCTTTGCTGTCCTGCCAGGGAGGTTTGACATTCTGCCAGAAAGAATTGCCGATGTCCCACGTGGGGATTCTCCATGAGGGCCATCTTTCTTTCTGGGTCAGTGCCCTTTTGCAAGTAGTGCATGGGGAAGAAGAAAGAGCAGCCTGCGGGAAGGGGGCACCTCATGAGTTACTTCCCCTACCAAGGGGCTTTCTCAAAGCCCTGCCTTTATAGGGCTCCTTTTCAAAATGAACTTCCTTTCCTCCTTTCCTCCAGAAACATGATCTTTTTCAACTCTATTTCCTTCTCTTCTCTCTCTTGCTGCTGCTGAAGAAAGCACCATCCATCCCCTCACCCAGAATCCTGCCTTGTGATCTTCAAACCTAATGGAAAATGTGGAAAGAGAATGGTGCTTCTTGACCTCAGAATGGAAGAGATCTGGCTCCCAGGAATCCTTGCGTCTTCCTGGAAAGATTAATTGCCTTCACAATCCCAGTGCTGACAACCTTCTCCCACTCCCCTTCTCAAAACAATTTGTGGCTAGGACAACAGCAGGTCCCAAACACACCTTTTTTGAATTGAATGCTGACACCTCCCAGGGGAAGTGTTCCTTGGGGAACCAGAAATAAAGCACCAGCAGAATGGGGCACCAAAGTCTCAGTTTTTGGAAGCAGTTTAATATTTGACATAAAACCCAATAGAAGTCATAATTCAAGGGAAACATTTGAATTATTGGGCTTTTTTCACATGCTTTATAGTTAAGAAGGGCTTGCTTTTATTTTTGAATTAAATATGGGAGAAGGCATATCTAAAAGCCCGTATTTGTTCTACAGGTAAAGTCTGAGGGTCTTAAGCAGAACCTTGAGGTGTTCAGTAACCTTTCAGATCTTCTAGTAAGAGCAGGGGAAGGGTGAAGGTCAGCTCTGGGCAAAGCCAGTCTTCCTAGTAGGCTCCACTTCATTTTACTGAATAACTCTCAGAGCTTGGAAAGGGTGTCTTGGGGGCTGCTGTGGGACAAACAGAAAAGAAGGTGTGAGAAGACTGGTTCCTGTGAGCTCCTGCCTCAGCTTGGAGACTGACCTCCCAAAGGGATTGCACTACAGTGAATGGGATGGATGCAAAACTGATAAAACATTCGAAGACAGATTTGCCTAGGAAATGTCAAAAGAAATGGAGGAGAAAAGGGTGGGAGAGAAGACAGAATGGTCTAAGTGAAGAGTCTTCAGCAGCCTGATCTCCAAGTCAAAATAATTTAAAGTTTTTATTGAAAGAACAGATGGAAGATGAGAGCAGTTCTTGACACAGAATGGCACTTCTTGGGCACTCATGCGTGACATGCACAACATAGCCTTATATCAAGCTCCTTATAGCTCAAGATATAAATAAAATGAAGAATGTACTCATCTATTTGCCGCAACCTCCCTCAGATTGTAACACTGCTTAGAAAAGTATGAGAACCAAGCCTAAGAAAGTCAAGAGCTACTCATGTGACCCAATTGCTACATATATTTAATCGAACAGTCATTATTTTCTTTTTCCAACATATGTGTCTGATAATGAAGCAAAAAAGGAAAATAACTATCAATGTGCCACTTTAGAAACACACAACATTTGTTAGTTTTTTCAGTTTATTGATGTTCTTTTGAAATATGTATTTTAGTAGTAAGCTAGTACTCAAATGCTAACAACACAGAGAGCAATTCTGAATTGGGCTTTATTCTTTAAAATACAAGTTTAATTAAACAGAGAACAGAGATGAAATTGTTATCAAACATAAAAATATGAATTGAATTGCTTCTTTTTAGATGGATCTTTAACATTGACTTGACCATATGGACACTGCAAAAGAAATAAAACAAATTATTGAATTATTTAACAATCACTTTGAAAAAATATACTTCTCAGTGAAAAAAAAGAGACTGCTCACAATGTTATATAGATCATTTGATCTATCAAGTCTTGCACACTAAAGAGAATAATGGCAACCTCAGACAAATGGTCCTAATTAGCGTCCAGAAGCCATTTCCTAAATACATCCTTCCAACTTTAAGAATTTTACTGTCAAAAATCCACTCTTAGAAAGTCCTCGAGTCCTCAATTTACAAAAAAGCTCTTATGCATTTGATTAGAAACAGCTAATTTCGCAGGTAGGAACACACATAAAAGTGAAGGTTGAATTTTTCAATACTGTTTATAGCTAATGCATGCATTTAGTATCTATTCTTTAACTATAAAGTGAGCCAGTGAAAGGAACTAACGTCTTACTGCAATAAAATAAACAAAATGTTCTGTAAACAGAGGTTATCTGTTTATAATCTTAACCCTATAACAAAGAGATCAGAGAGAGGAAACACTAAGAGTGGGAGGGGGCTAGGAAAGAGGGAAGGAAGGGAAGAAAGAAATCTTAGTATATGAAGGAAATCTATCTCTCAACGATGGGTAAAATTCTGTTTATTCAGATAATAATGAAGAAAATGCTTTCTAGGACCTGGTTTGAAACAGTTTTTTTTTTTTCCCCGAGATGACTTTATTTTTATTGTTGTGCTGGGTGTTCCTTCTGTCACATTCTTGACTTCTTTCCCTGCCCTCCTTGTACTTGCCTGGTGAATGCAACTTATCTGAAACTTCATGAAAAGTTTCCCTGTAATGAAGAGCTCCGGTGAATGTAAGCCACAGCACTTCTAGGAGCTGATGCTTGCAGTGAAAGGTTACAAAATTCCACTAACTTTAAAGACCCTAGGTTGGTACTAACAACTTCATTGTTCTTTGCTAAAGTGGCTTGTGAAATGTGCACTCCAGGTCTATTTAGCTTTTTATTTGACTTGTTTTTCAAGTAACAGGTATTTATGAAGTTACAGAAGCTGGGCAGACTGCTGCTGTACGCGGGCGGTTGTTACTCACGTGTCTGCAGGCGGAGCCACAGCAGGACCCTCTCTGTAAATGGGCTAGTCTCGTGAGCACCAGATAGCCAGTAGCTGGGTCCACATAGCTTTGCTGGCCAGCCTACAGAGTATTAAAATGGAACAATTCATTAATCTTCATTCGTGCTTATCATAGCTCCCCAACATAACTGCTCCTACACTACGCAAAAAATTTAAAAACAGGGCTGGGATGTAGCTCTGTGGTACAGCGCTTGCCTAGCACGTATGAGGCCCTGGTTCGATCCCAGCACCAAAAAAGAAAAAGACAAAAAAAAATTAAATTTCTTCCCAGCAATTTTAGTGGCACTTGCAATTAAAGGCTGCACACATTTCAGTATTAACACAGTCTAACTTTATGTGGCTAAAGAAGAAAATACACACTTGAGCAAAATGAGCTGATGGAAAAACAAGAACGCCTCTACATCCAGTAACTATGTAGCCACTGCTCTGATAGTTTTCATTTGGTTTCTAGGAAACAAGCTTAATAATAGGTGATTTAAATAATTTTAAGAGTTTAAGAGGCTGAAAATGAACTTCTGCTCAGAAGTTGGAGTTGCAATTTTAGTACTTACAGTAGAGGGATAATGATTTAAACTTACAGAAAAGGTGCTAATTAAAACAGACCTTATAGGAAAGTATTACCTTGGCTATTTTGAATGGTTTTCTATACCTTCTCATGTGTTACTCTGTTGCAAGTTTTACTATTTTCCTTTTTTTCCAGAGTGCTGTTAATTCTATTTATAAGCGAATAAAGTATTGTTTTAACATATTAACACTAGCTGCTTTCACAAGTTTCATCAAAAGCAACTTTTAGTACACCACTTCAAATGACAAAGAAGCATTTTCTACCTACATTCACATGTTTTTTTGTTTTTTGTTTTTTGTTTTTTAAGAAAGTGCCTGAAGTGCTTGTGTGGAGATAAAAATAAACTCTATCTTCGGTAGATGTGGCTAAGTGATGGTACTTAGCTTTGAGATCTTATAGAGGAACTTCCCCATGGTTTTTACCTAACCCTTTACCCATCAGTAACTCAGTGTATCACTCTTGTATCAAACCTTTTCAGTAAAATGCACATGAAACTAGCAGGTCTTCTCACACACATTTTTGTATGACTAATGAACAACTTCATCAGCTGTTCAGTTTCTTAATTAATGGCTGAATACTATATTCCGGTTGAAGTTTTAATTAACTTATTTTGTGAATAATGTGTGTAGCAAGGGGACGTAGTTCAAGTCCAGGTTTACTCCAAGGCAATCTAGCACGGCTAGATCAGAGCAGCAGAAGTCCAGTGAGTCCCAACGCAGGTCTCAGAGGCCTCCCAAATCCTTTGGAACCACTCCTGATTACATGAAACCAGGAGTATTAAGCACCACTTTAGAATGACTGATGATTAGGACCTCGCCTGTCTATTTACAAAGCCCATTTTTGGAGACTTGGATGGAAAACAAAAACACTGGGAACTTTGTAGCAACTTTCACTTTTCATAGCTTCTGGATGTCTTGTAAAGGCAGTTGCACCCTGTAAACCTAACAGGTTGCTTCTGCGCATGCGTATGCTCTACTGCTTTCCGAGTGGATTGGACACCTCTGAGCTGGCAGGCTGCTCATACAAACTTAATTTGTCTTCAGCAAACGAGCCTCAGATAATGGTGGCAACAAAGATGCGGCAACAATGTTGACAGTTTGACTGGAGAGCAAGATGTTCAGCGATGCACATCAACCCTGGAAGAAGGTAAGAGCGATCTAAATGCAGGAGGGCAAGGATCATTGTGAGGGAGGTCTGATTTGTTGAAAAAGAGAAACAAGCTTGTTATTGGGTTTACTTATGGTCCCCTGGACAGTTATTTACTCTGTGATACTGACACTTATGAAACAAGTGTGGATTCCCCACTGTGAAAAAGTTCCTCTTTCCCCATGCTGACTGAACCTGCCTTTACACGCCTCTAGTGTTAGTGCTATAAACGATGAAACTTCTGGCTTATAGCCAGCATATTTACATGGTGAAGTGTGTGTAAACAGTTCGGGAAGAAAGTAAACTCCTGACTCAAGTTTCCTCTGCTCCTATAGAGTGGAGGGAAAGGACAAGAGGGGATAGCAAAAATCAGAATAAGTCTGCCTAATTTCTTTCGTTATTAAAACCACTGGATGACAAACCGTTCTGTGATCGTGCACATATAGCACTTTGCACAACACAACGCACTTTTCCTCTGACTTTTGCGTTCTTCTTCCTACAGCAGCCACCGCACACCCCGTTCCCAGCACGCACGCGCGCGCACACGAGTGGGAGTAGTTCCCACTGCTAGCAGAGTTGAGCGCCCACGCTGATCATTAAGCGAGGCAGCTGTCGCTCAGGACAGACACACGGTCAATCCTTTGGCCCAACGCTAAACCAAGGCCAGATTTCTAGCGAAACGCTGCAGCCGGAGCTGGAGGCCTCCGAGCTCCAGGAAGCCGGTGGCTCGAGGCGGAGGAGCTCGGGGCGCAGGCGCAGGAGCGCGCGGCGGCGCCCGGGGGCGGGCGGGGGCGCGCGGAGTGGGACGCGCACGGATGGGGCCCGCGGAAGGAGCACACGGGGCGGGGTCTCACCGCGCACGCGGCCGCGTGCAGCTCCGCGATCCGCAGCTCCGCGGCGGTTAACTCCTCGCTCGCCGGGCGCGTCTCGGTTCTCTCGGGCCGACCGTGCGAGCCGGGCGTGGGGCCGCCGCCGCCGCCTCCTCCCTCCGAGGCCGAGCAGAGGGTTGAGCCGAGCTGCTGTGGCGACTCTCTTCCAACGCGGGGAGCTCTGGCTGGCTGGACAACCGCAGGTCTCCTCCCCAGCGCGGCGCCCGCCAACGCCGGGATCTGCCTGGCCGCCATGGCCGCTGCGGCTCGGGAGGCGGAGCGCCCGGCGCGGGGCTCGGGCTCGAGCTCGGCGGGGCCGCGGCCGGGGCGCAGCGCGCACGGCCTGAGCTGCGTTGACCCAGCTCAGCCGGACCTTCAGGCAGGGCGGACAGACCGAACCTGCTGCCTTTCTGAGGAAATAGAATGGACATTTTTTTGTGTTGTCTTTTTGAGATAGGGTCATTCTGTGTTGCCCTGGCTGGCCTTGAACTCGCGATAGGCCTGCCTTAGCCTCCCCTGTGCTGGGACTGCAGACCTGCACTCCCACACCCGGCTTCAAATGGACTTTTAAGGTCTCCAGTGAGGCGGGACCCGGAGAGAAAGCGCAGTTGGAACCCAAACTATTGTTCTTTTCTTGTGAGAGGAGGGGTGGACATTTTTCTCTCCTGTCAAACTAGACTGGATTCAGCGTAATCACAGCTGTTAAAAATCCCAGAAAGTGAGGTTTGTTACTGATCATTTGGAGCCCATCCAGAACAGGGAGTAGGCGATGGGATAAAGTTGGAACAGGGTCCTGGTGGTGTGGTTCTTTCACCCACCCTAGAATGAAAGCCCAAAGTAAAATCTCACACTGACTGAATGAGGAAAAGGTGCTGTTCGCCTGTTACTAAGTATTTGCAAAATCGAAACTAAAATTACATTTCCTGTCTGGCAGATGAAAGTTATCCTCAGACCCCCCACAAAATTGAGTTTCAGAAAATTAGCACGAGCCCAGGAGGTAATTTCAGGTGTTAGGATTAAATTAACACTCCAATCCCCACCCCCCAGACTGGGTTTTGAGAGAAGGAGCTTGGAAAATGGCAATTTTGTTAGTGTTCCTCATTATGAAGAATTGATCCTTGAGGGCAAAAGTAGATTTAAAAAATTATTATTTGTCGTGTGTGGATGGATTCCAGGGCCCCAGAAATGCTAGGTAAGGGCTTTAGCTGTAGTCACACCAGCACCCCAAAAGTAGATCCTCCAGCTGTACAAGAGAAGGGTGACTCAGCCACCACAGACTATCACAACCGCTTTTATGGTATCTGACTTGACGGTACAACCCTGTAAGTACATTTTTGTTTTCATAGTAAGAATTTGGTCCATTATAAATCTCAGCGAGAATTAGTAAATGGCAATCTTATTTTGCAGATGATTCCTTTGTGTTGGAATAATAAGTTATGACTTAGAGACCGCTCAGTATTCGTAGAAGAGTTTAAAACCAGGAAGGAGAGACCCTAGATTACCAAAAGTGAGTTATTATGATTAAAAAAAGAAAATTCACCAAAAGTCACGAACCCCCCCCCCATCAAAATTTCAAATACAGGAAATGAGTTTGGAGGTTTAGATTGCATTGCATTGTTTTTAAAATTGAGGATAAAGGCCTACAAGGATGGGATGCTGTTGTACTGAAATAAAATAGACACGGCCAGATTTAAATAGAAAAAGAAGCAGTGCCATCTTGTTTAGGAAGAGTGAGAATGTGGTAATGGGCTAATTCTGCATCTTGATCACTATGGTTACATATATTTCCATGTGACAAGGTGTCATAGAACTACTCATGCATTCTTCCCATGTCAAACTCCTGGTTTTTATATTGTAGTGAAACTGTGTGAAATGTAATCTTTAGGGTACATGGGGTGAAGGGTGTACAGAACCTCTCTGTACTATATTTACAGCTTCTTATGAATTTGTAATTATTTAAATTTACAAACAGTGATAAAAAGTGGTTTTCAGATTAAGCAGAACCTTATTTCCCCATCTCCTCCATTCCCAGGTTTACAGATCATCCTGAGCTGGATTGCAGGCACGTGCTGTAACCCTAGTGAGGCGAGGCAGGAGGATCTCCAGTTCTAGGCCAGCCTGAGACAGAGTGAGACCCTGTCTTAAAAAAAAAAAAAGTCATCCTGGGTAGTCACAACACCTCTGGGCATTTAGGCTGAGAAAGCTTTTTTATATTATTCACGTGTTACCACTGTGTGTATTATATCTTTAAAATGAAGTCAAAGTTGGAAATCTATATAATTAAAAGAAATGAGATACTAATACTAATAATTCCTAGATACTAATAATTCCCAGATATTTGGTAATTTAATTATATTATCATTTGATCTTGAGTCAGTGTCATTTCATAGCAAGCAACTTTTCTTTCATTGTATCTCTTGTTTTAAAAAAACCTCTTCAGGACTTGACCCTTTCCTTATTCAAGTGGGTATTCATTTTTTTTTCTCTCATATTCTCTGTACTCACAATACACATGACTATGAAAATGGGGTTACTACCTCCCACCTTTGAACGATACATTAAATTCTCACTTTATGAAGCTTTACTCTAGAATGAGTTTTGGGCTGCAACTCTACATGTAACATGGTATTGCGTTGATTTTATCACCCCATTATTTGGGATGATTAGGTTGATATTGAACATGCTTGTTGTGTTGGGGATGACTTTCAAGTAAATGCAGTCCCCTAGATTTCATTTATACTAATTTTAAGTAGGTATGGTAGGACACTCTAGGTTACAAGATATACAAAGATCATACAACTTAACCTGGTTAAAATAAAAGGAGTGTGTTTACATAGATAACCATGACACATAACTTGATTCTGGACTCCCTGATATGACCAGTACTCAGTTCTCTCCATTTTTCTGCTTCACCTTTTGAATGTTAATCCACGTTTCAGACAGACTTTTCTCCTTGGTGAAAAATGGCTGCAAACAGCTTCTGGAATGGTTTCTCATCTGTATCTGATAAAGAAAAGAGAACTTGCAGAATAGGAGCAGCTCTTCTCCCTCCTAGAAGTGTGAACAGTCATATCTTCATCCTTGGATCGTACTTGAGCCAATCTCAGGAGTACAGATTACGCTTAAGCTAACTAGGGCTATCCTGGACCTACCCATGGTCAGTCCCACCCTACCCATGGCTGAAAGTGGCCCATATTAATGCTGAGGGCACAGTTAACAAACATGCACTACAGTGTGACTTTGGAAAGCAAAATAAATTCCATTAGCCCATCCAATCCTTTCAGTATTTACTCTTTAAAGGTTTCCCTCTAGAAGTCTTTCCTTCAATCTCTCACAATTATTTGTGCCATTTTAGCTTTTTATATACAGTAATTATTTTAGAACTGTTTTCCCAAAATACCATAAACAAGGAAATGGGGACATGCCATTATCATCTTTGTATTTCACAGCCCACCCTGTGTCTCTGCACATATTATTTATGGCATATAGTGAATAATGAATAAAGAATTTTTGATTTAATAAATGAGTCAGTGGTTCTTCATTCTCAAGTATATATTCCTAACTACTGGACAGAAATGTCATAGGAAAATTTAAGCTCATTTTCTCAAAAAAAATTGCATATTTGAAAATATTGTTACATTTTTGAAAAAAAATCTGAAATCTTATTAAATAACAACGGGCTATTTTACTGACAAACAAGATAAGCATACAAAACACTGCCAAATGATCTGATCTAAGCCCTTGCAGTGTTGCCTCTAATTGACTTAAGTATTAGCTTTTAGTGAACTATCCAAATTAGTCTTGCTGCTACAGAGCTACCACTCAATTTCTGGTCCATATACTGCCTGTTTTATTCCATTCCTTTTGGACACAGATTTATGTATTTGATGTTTCTCAAATAGCCGAATGGTGTGTTATAACATGTCATGCTCCGTGCAGAGTGCATTTTCACTATCAATTCTAATGATTGAGAGCAAATGTTACATGCCCCTGAGGTTGCCTATAGGGGATCTTTTTTTCATTTAATCGGACGTCCAATAGCACACTTTCTTTCACAGAGCCGGTCTTAGAAAACTCTTTAGGGAATTACAACCATTTCAATTTGCAAGCCCAGCAAATCTCTGCTGACTTCACAGTGGATGCTACTCCACCAGCGTTACCCGCCTACAGCACTGCTGTGTTTGGCTCTTATCTTTCTGTTTTGTTTTTGTTACTCTGGACAAGTGTAGAGGGCCATGTAATATGAAGGAATCTAGCTCGTTCATCTCCTCTCCTCTCTCAGTCTTTCTTTAATGAGTGGAAGTCTGGCTTCTACCCTCTCCCCCAACTTCAAGCATCACGGATGACTTGAGTGCTAAATCCAGTGCACTTACACAGCACTTACTGACTGAACCTCCAGGCTGCTTTTAAACTGGTGGATCATCTGTCCCTAAAAGCTTGATGGCTTGGACCCCAAATCCTTAAATCTTATGCCTTTATGATTACTCTTTTTCTGATTTCTTCAAGGGTCTATCTCCTCCTTTCTTACATGTCGATCTTCCTCAGATATCTTCAGCTGGCTATCCTCAGCCACCGCTCCTCAATTTCTCAGAGTGATTTTACTCACACATATGTTCTTACTCTATTACCACAAGTTGATAACTCCCAGATCTCTGCATCAGGGTCAAAGCTTGTGAGAGCAACACACCTGTTTAATCACCTGCCTGATGAATGTACACAGGTGAAAACACCCCAAACTCATGTCCAAAATGGACTTATCATCATCACCTTTGGTATCTTCCTTCTCTATTTATAACCACCTAATTCGGAGATCTTGGGATCATTCCAGATTTCACATCTCCCTACTCACATTGTCGCCAAACTGCCATTTTTACTTGTAGGTAAAGTTTGTCTCTCAGATTTATCAAAAAAATGTCTCAACTTGGTCTTTTCTTTTGTTTCTACCATTGCTGTCATTCATTGTCATTTCTTTCCCTCAGGTACAACAGAGTGACTCATTAATACAAATAGTACATAGTGAGGACTTCCTGTGTATCAAAGCCCTCTCCTCTGTGTTGGGGTTGTTCATATATTGTGTGTGCTATTCATTCTAGCAAGAAATATCCTACCTTCATCTCCACCTCAAACTCTATGTTCATTTCCTTGAAGTGGTGAAGTTATTGTACCCATCATCCAGGCTGCAGCCCATGTTACCTGCTGTACCAAGCTTTCTTCCCTTACTGCTCCCTTTGCTTGTAACTTCCCCAGTGTCCTCTGCAGGACAGGCTAGGCACACCACTCAATCCTCCTCTAACAGCTGAGCATGACTGACTACCTTCGTACTTCCCTCTTGTATAATTTTATGGTTTTGAGTTTTCTTTACTGCCAGACTATGAGGCCATTAAAGATTATGTTTCTTATCTTTGTATCAGAAATAGTACAAGTACATAGGAAATGTGAAAGAAACAAATAAAGCTGTTTAATGAATGGCGGAATGCATAATGGCAGCAAACCCTACATGTGAACCACATAGGAAAGGCATAATACAATTGCATT